ATGTATGTGTATGTATATGTACATATATATATATATGTATATGTACCGGAATATAGTAGTATAAATACAGCATCGCAGGCATCATCAATAGATGTCTGTGAGTGCCATTCGTCGCAGGAGTGTACGCCGCCGAAATCCCGGTACTCAATGGCTTTCTTCATGCACTTGAGCTCATGTTATGATTTCTAGGGTTCAGGTTTCTGTTTCTTCGGCTGAGCTTGAGGGCTTGCAGGGTCCCATTATTGGGCTCTAGGGTTTTGAGGTCTCCCGCTCCAGGGCTCGGTACCCGGAAGCCCTGAACCCTTGACCCTTGAAGCCAAAAGCAGGTTTAGGGTTTAGGGTGTGGTCTTGAGGTGGGGGTTTCTGTACAGTCGGGTTACTCGAAGACTTTCTGCTGCGATTGGGGTGTGGCACCATATTTTAGGCAAGCTTTTCCTACAGCTCTCTGATAGCATCGAGTCTTCTACTGACTCGGTTCCCAACTACGCAGTGCGATGGCGCGACAAACCCTGAACTCGAAGACAGTCTGCCTAGGGTGTGGACAGTTCCGGGATTTGTCGGAGATGTCAGATCTGGCAGCATATGGCGACACCCCGTAATGCGTTGTGCTGGGCCCGAAGATCCTGTCAAGAGGGACGCGGCGCACGCAGCATAGAACCCGCCTGCCTGTTCACTTTAAACCTGTGGAGAAGCGGTTCTTTGTCAAATGATAGCAGAAGGTGCCGGCCAGCCTCCCAGCACTTTTGTCCCATGCAGTTTCTGCGCTGAGGCAAGCCGACAAGCACGTGAAAATCGAGTGCGAGACCATGGAGACAGTGCCGCCCGGCATGAGCTGCGGGCTCCAAGTCTGGTGAAGAGATCTGTGGCATGAGAGCGTGAAAGCACGAAGTGGCTGCAAATATTATATGCATATGTATGATACATATATATATATATATATATATATTTTTTTTTATGTATGAATACATGTGTGTGCCATTGTATACATATACACATATCTACATATTAGAAACAAACCTAGCCAAGGCAGATACCTTCTGCTGAGGCGAGCGGGCAACATTGAAACGGCAGGAAACAAGAGGCCATAGTGGAGGCTCCGAAAAATTTTGGGGCACCTCGAATAGAGTTTAGAAGTCACTCTGGTCAGGATTCTCCTTTTTAGGGTTTACACAGACAACAACTAAACCCTAAACCCTGATCGACTCCTGCCCCTTTAGACAACCTCGCCTGTGAGCATAGTTCTCAGCCATGCGAGAGGGAAAAAGATCGCCGGAGTGTCCCGCCAAGGACCGCCGGGGACTACATCCTTGGCCGCATCCGCAGCAACTTCGCGAAGTGAGCTGACAGGGCCACCGTTTAGTATACTATAATCTAGTGGAATTACCATATGATAGGTTGTAACCTACTATAAAAACCATAGTAAAGTATGAAAGACTATAATCCAGGAACACCTTGAGCCTAGGTTCGCAAGTTGATGCATCTTGTGCCGCGATAGCAAGCCAAGACGCTTTCAGCAAAAACTTGGTGTTTCCCTACCTTCCCCAAATTCCTTTGTCCAGAGGTTCCCGGCAGACAGACCTAAACCCTAACCCTGGAGAGTCCAAACCTGTTACTATAGGGGCCTAAATAATTACCTATACTATTTTGGGGGGGTTCCATATTGTAAATAGAGTATAATATACCCCCCAAACCCTATTATAATTCTTAAGGCCTGAAGGCCCCTACATTACGATCCTAACCCTAAACCCTAAACAGGTGTGGGGCTGACAACCACCCCGCCTGTAGGCTCTGCTTTGAGGCACTGTGCCCATGAGCTGTGCTGCCCTAAGAACCCTGTAGTATAGGAGCTATAGGAGCCTAAATAATTACCAACACTATTTGGGGGGGGGGTTCTTTATCCAAATTATAGTGTAGCAGGCCCCAAAATCCTAATTAAGGCCCGATGCGTTTGGCCGTGGTGACGGATTATGATGTCGTAATGTCTTTCCCGTTCTTCGAGGTCCATAGTTGCCGCAATAGAATCACAGTACTTCCCACAGCATTGCAAGCTTTCCTTCCGTTTGTGTTTCTCCTTCCTGCAGTGTCTGCACCTCCCCCGCAGTCTCTTGAAGCCAATTGAGGGCTGAAAGTGTGTTGCAGATGCCTCCGGTAATGACTGCGCATCAAGATCGGGCTCACGATTTGGTGAAGGCAGTGTCGGGCTTCGGGATTTGGACGAGAGCTTTGAGGGAGCGTAAAGTCCTAGTGGGAGTGAAAGAACAACAGTACCACGGAGGGGCGGTCTGGGCCTCGGTCTTTAGAGATCACAGTCTCGGAACCTGGGAGTGGCGACAGAGAGAGAGGGTTGAGGGTTTACGGGTTTAGAGTGTAGGGGAGATTAGGGCAGCCGCATATGTCGATATCTTATCTGCAAGAAATTGTTTGGATTCTTGCCATTTTCGACCCGCTCAGCTCGTGTGCCTGGCGCGAGCGGGCAGGAGAGTCTCCATCAGGTCCTCCGCCAGCATCCGCCAGCTGTATGTCGAAAACGGACAAGATATCTTAGGATTTGCCGGAAAGGATGGGAACCCACATGCTGTATAGACATGTACATTATATGCACAGACACGTCTTCTTCGCGCATACTTTTCCATCTCCGTGTATTCTGTCTCTGGGTCTGCGTCAAGCTTATAGGACGTAGGGTTTTTTGTGAGCAGGAACCTGAAGGCTGGGTTCGGGTTTCGTGAAACGCAGGTCTGCACTTCGATGACGGGAGCATCTCTGCTGTTGGGGCTTCCTGTTACGAAGATCTTTGCTACAGAAACCCTTCACCAACTCCGAACAAGCGTTTGAAGGCTAGTTGCATGGCGGGCATAATGGGATCCTACCTTGATGGTATCCTGACTGGGGCTGGCTGTTCCCTGGTGGAGACGCTATCCCTTGGCGCCCTTGTGTCCGAGGCTTGCTTGGTGATCGTTGATATCTATGAAGATGTTGTAGGATCTCTTCAGCTTCCATTGTCCTCATTGAAGTATGCTTGCTCTTCCGATCCTCGGCGTGGCTTCACCGTCATCACCTCGGATCATGCCAGAGGCTCTGGGTCAGAGGCTACACCGAAAAGCGTCTTCGTTGCGAAGATCGGAAAGAAAAATTGACGCGACGGGGAAAGGAATGTCTTGCGGGTCTGGATATTCCGAACTTCCGAGCCAGGGATATGACAGGGCGGAGGTTGTAGGTCCGACAGCAGTGATATCTTTCCAGAGGTTCTGTAGGAGATTCGCATTAGGACGAGCAGTGTTAGTCGCTCCAGTTGAAATCCTCATCCTAAGGTTGAAACCAGCCCTGACGCAAACCCTAAAGCCAAAAGCTTGAAACCCTTAAGACTCTAAGCCCAAACAGCCTCTTGGGCTGCGGGCCTGCGCACGGGTGAAAATGATTCGATATTCGGGATTTTCAAAGGTGAGTCTTTCAGATTATAGGGTTTATAGGGTTTGGGGTTTTAGGGCGACAGCAAGAGTCCTGGATGCAAAAGGGCTCTGTCGCGGGGTTTTGGAGCCACTATACCATAAAATAGAAGGCCCAAAATTCAAAATAGTGTTGGTAATTCTTTATAGGCTTCTGTATGAATCAGGTTAGCTTTTGATTGGAGCTCTGTTCGGGCGGATCCTGCATCCTGGCAGATGGGCAAGGCCGAAGTCTACGGATGCTGTAAACGTGAAATAGTCCAGATTGAAACTAAGACCTAACCCTAACCCTCCAGGTACCTACTATTTTGGGCCCCAGGGGCTCTAGTTCCTTGTATAGTAGGTACCTGGGAGGTTAGGGTAAGGCAGCGGTAGAGAGAGAATGAGGGAGAGGCTAAGCATGATACCACTTGTTTCTGCTCTGCGACCGGCATCTGCGATCGATGTTACCATTTATATATTAAGTACTCGCTACACTCTTCCTTTTCTGATATCATGTCGGCAAGGCTGCGGGATCCGGCGACGAGGCCTACAGCGAGGATGAGGTCCTGCTCCGCTGAATTGTTCAGAAACTTTCCACTCGTCAGTCCGTCGTGTAGTAATATAGGGGCCTTGATAGTTACCATATTATTTTGGGGGTTCCTTAATATATTTATAGTCTAATGGGTTCCAAAACCCTATTCTAATTATTGAGGCTCCTATATGTAGAAAAGGCTGGCCGTGCAGGCTTCCGGCCATGCGGACTGCCCAGATTCTGTGAACCTGAGTAGGTAATAGGTGATCAGGTGATCATACTCGTGACACAGCAACTTGCTCTAGTAGTTCTTACTCAGTGTTGGGGGTTGCTGTTCATGTGTTTCCCTTATTTCCGAGCCTTTTATCCCAGTAGAGTGGGCGTCGGCCGCGCGCAACCGCTCACATGCCACCTCAAACACTTCGCAGCCTTCGAAGCATGCCTCCCGCTTTTTCGGCTGCAGGCTACCATAGACAAGACACCTCAGAGTGTAAATGTATTCAAACTCTGCACGAAGTATTCAGGCAAGACGCGTATGTTCGACATGTACATGAGTTCGAGCTTTGAAAAGGAGTCGAGGTGGGATACAACAAGCTCGTCAGCACTTTAAACGTTGATGCCCGTATGGGGTTTTTTCAATTCGGAAGCATTGCATAGAGCCAGCTCAGCTACAGCGCCATGAAGCCGGCATGTTTGAGAGAACCACTTGCACGCTCTCCAGAGCCAACCGCGCGGAGCTCTGCCACACACCAGACACAGCCACCACTGAAAGGAATCTTGAGGCGGCCCACGGGCGTTGCCCGGGCCCGGAGCAAGAGTGCGAAGATCAGCTGGCTGTGGAGGCCTCGCATGCTGACAGTGCATTCGCTGGATGAAGCGGAGAAGGTGGAGCTTTTCTGGTCGCAAGGTGATTTGTCCGAAGTCACTTGCGGTTGTTGTGGCGGTCGCTGCCGTGAGAGAGAAGTGTCCGTGGCCCAGAATCCCAAAGGCCAACGGGACCTCCTCTGCAGCGGGTGCGCGGAGGAGCAGCCGAGACACCTTGTCTCCACGAAGCCCGGCCGGGGCAGTGTGGGTTGGCTGAAAATCTACCCGGAACCTGCACCGCTTTTCCAGGAGGAGGAGGACAATCAAGAGGAAGAGGAGCAGGAGGAGGAGGAGCAAGAGGAGAGGCAGGCAGACGAGCAGGACGAGGAGGAGGAGGAGGAGGAGCAGGACGAGGAGCAAGAGGAGAGGCAGGCAGACGAGGAGGAGGAGGAGGAGGAGGAGGATGAAATGCCCATGTCCGCACGCCTGTTGCAGGCTCTGGAGGAATGCTCAAAACTTCCGAGGCCTTCAATCTTGAGGGCTCAGCCTACGCTCAATCGTACCTGCGGCCTCTTGAGGGTATCTTTTGAAGGCGTCCGCAAAGTCGTGGAGGGATCCGAGTTTGTGAGCCCTGAGACGAAAGACGCACTTTTCTGGAACTCTGAGAGGTTGAGATCCAGTCTTTGTGCTCGATGTGGGGGCTTTCAAAGCATGGCTGAAAGCTTTGTGGCCGAGTCATGGCATGGTGAAATGGACATGATTTGCAAGGACTGTTCCTTAGGAGCCCGATTGGTAAACTTTAAACTTTTTGGGTATATTAAACCCTTACTGGCCCTTACTAAAAGAAAAGTTTAAACTTTTTTGGGCCACGGTACTTGGAAGCTAAGGTTCTAGCGACTGGCCTGGCCATTTGCTCTCTTCGGTTCCTGGGGCTATATCTGCTGGCTGGCTCAAGCTTCAACCGTCGATTTCGTGTGCATTCTTTGATGAGCTTGCTGAGTACGAGAGCAGGAAGAAGCGATCTCCGCTTGCACTCTGCGATGCCCCCAAAATCCTGGGACATGATGGCAGGAGCCCAGCTGCAGATGAGAGTTGCAAAGCTGTCTCGAAGTTGAGGAAGGTAGACATGGACGTCAGAGACGAAGATTCAACGACCGAAGCAGCGAGCGACACCGAGACCGAATCAGAGAGTGCGTCCATCATCGGCAGCTGATTCCGAAGATCAACACCGAGCAAGGTAATCAATGGGGCAACATGTCAGTGTTTGTCGACTGACACCACCGCTAGGATAGTCTATGGGTGTTGGGAGACCTGCCTGTGCGAGCTACATGGCAGCCTGTGGGGAAAATAGTGGGCTCCGACTCTGAGCAGAATTCTTTGTTGGGTAACTTAGTATAGCCGCTCTTTTCGATAGAGTAGATTGATGTATTGGTGCGGCCCCTTCAACTACAGGGTTTGGACCATTGCTTGCACAAAGATCTCGGGGCGAGTGGCTTGTCTTTCAGCTCGTCTGTTACAGCTGCAACAACTGATGCTGATCACTTGCGACCAGTCGCAGTTTCGCGCCCCTCATCCCTTGAGTTGCGCATCGCCGTCATTCTTGGGTTTCTCTATACCGGCCATTGTAGAAGGTTGGGATTACACACACAGAGAGCCCCAGTATGTTGAAACGTACAACCTGGCATGATTGCGGATTGTCGTGGCCCTCAGAAACTTCGGGTTACAGGCAGTTGGGTATTCACTGGGACCTCACATGGGGTCCGGAGAACAAGGATCCTGCTACAGTAAACCCTAAACCCTAAAACCCTAAACCCTAGAGTGTTTTCGTTTTGGAGTCCTCATAGTGCCTGATCTTCCGAATTCCTTTCTCCTTGCTTGCCAGGACTTCTGCGAGGAAGCCGAGGATGAAAGCACTCCTATGTCCAAAGGCCACACTTAAGCACTTGCCGGGGTTTTTAGGGGTGTGAAAAACTACGTAGAAGTTTTCGGGTTTAGGGTGAACCCTAAAGACTGCTGAAGAGCATCCCCACTAGGATATCGTCCATTTTTTCCCGGGTTCAAGGTCGTAACACCATGTCATTTTTGAGGGCTCACGGAGTTTATGGCTTGAGCTCAGGGTTGGAGGGACAGGCATAACTACAGAGCCCTGCTTTCAAAACAGGAGTGTTACTGGATATGGCATATTTGTATTATGTATCACATGATATATGTAGATGTATGTCATGTAGTGTAACGTTATGTATGCATATATACATATATATACATATATATATATATATAAGTTTCATGGTGGAGTCAGAAGGTCGTAGAGACAGAGACGCCTAGCAGAGGGGGGGCACTCCGCAGAGCACCACTACTTCAGTCGCACGAGGGTTCCTTAGTTGTTTTGGCCCGATGGTGGGGTTGAGGCTCAATTTCGGCAAATGCTGGCCTGAACCATGTACCTATAGTCTCCATTGTAGTTCCTTTTGGAGATACCTTATAAAATCCTTAATATATATTTGGTTAAACCAAAAAAAGGAACTACAATGGAGACTACACGTAGCAGGTGAGAACGGTTTGCGTAGAAGGGCTCGCAAAGCGTGGCCGCCCAAACAATGGAATCCCGAGCTCTGAAGCCCTGCCCCACTTAAAGGATTCATGACTTAGTAAGTAGGGCCTAGGGTTTAAATTACGGTAACTATACTTATATTTATCTACTTAAAGGATCATGGGACTTAGTAAGTAGGGTTATAATTAAAGTAACTATACTTATATTTATTTATAACCCCAACTAAGGGGCTTATAACCTTACTTGATAGGTCCCATGATCCTCCAAGCAAGGCAACATGACGGGCTACAGCCACAGCGAGGCTGCCAGTGAGCAGGTAGCCTGGGAACAGTCCGAGGGTTTTGTTTCTGCCTTTGAGGGTGACTCGGCCATAGGGGGGGCCAGGATGTGGTGTCTAGGACCCATATCAGTAGCCGACCCAAAACCTGACAATGGTTAGGTTTCATTGAAATTACCTATAGTCTCCATTGTAGTTCCTTTATTGGGATGCCTTACAATAATACATATTTGGTTAAACCAAAACCTGATAGGAGCCACGAGCCCGAATACAGTTGCGCGCCCGATAGCAGCAGGATTATCAGTCCTAGGTTTCCCGGCCAGGACCCCCTCCATCCCCGTGGCTGTTGACACTTTTTCAATGCGACGACAGTTCTGCGTTTCGCGACGATTTTCGGCTCTCAGGGGGGCTGGGGGCTGGGGGCTGGGGCGCGACGCTCGCGAACGCTTGCGGACGCTGCGCACGCAATTCCGAGTCAACTCCTAACCCCCAGACCCCCAACCTTCAAACGAGAAACCCTTCTGCAACGCATTCGGGAAAAAGGAATTACAATGGAGACTATAGGTAGGACAAATAGCCGACCCCAAACCTGACAATGGTTAGGTTTCATTAAAATTAACCTGCAGGATTCAGGGTTTGGGGCTCTGGGATCCGAACGTTGCGGTGCAGAGTCTTCTGTTCGTTTTCTGAGAGAAGTTAGGGGTTTCCGAAAATAAGGGGTACCTTAATATTGGGGTCCTTATAAGGATCCTACTATTTGGGGTACTAGATTAGGGTCNNCTATTTTCGGAAACCCCCAGTTAGGGCTGAACGGGGAACTTTCTGGAGGTCTGAAGTAGGATACATGTGACGGAGCTACTAAGTGTGCGACCTTCGAGCTCGCATGCCGCATTCTGACCGACAATCCTCTTCTGAAGTTGTGAAAGCTATGAGACTCTAAACCGAGCAGTTGAAAGCGCAGATTGACTGTCAGCGGCAAGGTAGTGCTCTAAATTCCTGCATCTTGAAGCAGAGCCAAGTGGTAACCATAACCATACCGGTAGCCCCAATGATACTATGAGGAGGGATCTAGACTTTGCCAACTTTGCAGTACATTGCTTCGCGATCGGCATAAGAAGACAACTCCCACAGGTGACGTGTACCATCTCGAGGCTTCCCTGCGAGGTGGCAGTAAGACCCAGAGCCTCCACCCGACCCTAGTCAGCTCCGACCCCCCTCCTCCNNAAAAAAAAAATGCGACAGTAGGCCGTAAGCCTCGGACATCGGAAGCCCGACCTTGAGCCCCTTGAGATGAAGGAGACATCCGCCCTGGAGAAGGGCAGGGAAGATAGGGAAGAGCAGCCGAAGGTCGGGTTGGAAGTCGCCGATGCATGGATGCCCCCATTTAAGGTCAAGGTGATTGAAATGTTGGTCCCAGCCCTTTTGCCCTGCAGGATGCAAGTTGTGACTGCAATTCGTGTAACATGCCTTTAAGCAGGCGTGTCGCGCGAGCATTGCGCCGTATGGTGCGCGGATCTCCCTCTAGGACAAGAGCACCCCTTTCGTTGGTATCTAGCTGAGCTCTTGGGCACATTTGGGCACGGCATGATTCAACCATTGAGGTGCTGGAATGCTTTGTCCACATCTCTCTTTGCGGCTTCATGGTAGCTGGTAGTTTCACTGGTCACAGCTTGCATTACTATCAGAGGGCGCCCTGCTTAGTCTCACGACGATGGTGGCCATACGTACTGCAACTGTTATGACTCGATTGATGCTTATTTTCGCTGTTCGCTCAACCGACTGTCAGTCCACTGGTACGGCTATTATATTACCACGTGCTTCCGCAACGATCTAGGCCATGAAGATCCGACCCCTATAAGGCCTGAACGTCGAACCCCGCATCCAACATCCTGAACCTTAAGCTCCACTAACTCTACGACCAAACCCTGAACCCTAACCTAAACCCTCAAAAAGCAAAGCCGCATACAGTCATGTTTCTCTTTGTCTCTCTCCTAACCACTCTCTAGTTTTTGTTGTTTGATTTGGTTTCTCTATCTCTCTCTCTCTCTCTGTCTCCGTGTATAAATACACAGCAATTCAGATAGATATGTAGATAGATTGGTTGATAGATAGATAGGTAGGTAGACAGGTAGGTAGGTAGGCAGGTAGGTAGGCAAATAATAAAAGAGCTCTGATCAGGCGAACCCGCCCATCGTCCAGCGGCCCTCCGGAATCAGCGCGCTGAGCCAGGCCGAAACTTACAGTGAAGTCACTGTAGGATTCAGGGTTCACGGAATCACAAGGTTAGGATTTAAGGAATTTAAGGCTTTAGGGTTCAAGGGATTATAGGTTTCCGGGGCTTGCAGCCATCGGTACCAAACGTCTTAGATCCGTAGACACGCAGATGCCGCGACGGCGCAGCATCCTGGGATCTTGGGGAACCCATGGCCTGAGCCGGCACCCTCTGATAATGTGAGGGCTTCAATTAGTTACCTGCTTGTGAGTGCTTTTTATATCAGCAATAGTATTCTTTAGGTCCCGCACAACCCTGTTCTAATTGTTAAGGCCCCAGATAGTGATCCTCTTTGATTCCTGGAGATCAACGGCGCTCTCACTTGAGGTTCCTTCAATCCGGTGTGAACTGTTGCTTCCCGAAGCCAAACTAGTCAATCTCAACCCCTCAAACTTTGATTAAAGCCCAGATTCCTTGCGTTGCAGGAGTCCGTCTCGCAGATCCAGGCCCACTCGCTGGCCACCAAGGCCCTCGGCTTAGGGTTTTGATCAGTTTTCTCTCCATTGCCACTGTTTGGGGTCTTGCCCCTGTTCCTGCTCGCTGTTGTTCCTGCTCTTGATCTTATTGTCGTTCCTGCTATGGCTCTTGCTTTGCTCGCGCTTTCGCTCTTGCTCCTGGACCCCTCTAACTCAAATTAGATTGTAAAGGGCGAGGGTGATTTCTGGGGGGGTGTTCCGCAAAGTGCATGGATTCATAGGGGGGGGGGGGTGTTTAATAAAAGTGGAAAGTGAGTGCCCATAGGCCCCATAGCAGTTCCTTTTTGGGATTACCTTATAGGTTTCTAAGTATGAACCCCAAAAAGGAACTACTATGGGGCCTATGAGTAATCCAAAACCTTCGACACATTGCACGTGACTCCGGTCTG